TAGCCTCTTCAGCCCAAAGTTGTTGAATCGGGACTGCCCAACCCAATTGGACTAAGTACAAAAAATAACTTGCAAACTCTTCAGTCTAAACCGAAGGGTTTGAACCTTGAACCCTTCAGCCCAAAGACTTTTACTGGTTGCAGAATGTTGCAGATTTGTTTGTTTTTTGGTTCTGGATAAGTTATCTTTCATTTTCCATAGGTTTTCCTTCATGTTTTTTTCCTTGCTTTCCATTGGTTTTCCATGCTCTCCCATTAGTTTTTCCCCCTTTTTCTGAATGCATTTTATTTTCCATTGGTTTTGTTTTTTTGGGATTCGGTTTCCTTCATTTTCATCCTTTTGTCCTTATTTTCCATGGGTTGAGGAAGCTTTCCCATTAGCGGTCCTTTGTTTCCCACTTTTCTTGTTTCCATTGGTTTTACTTCATTTTAGAAAATTCGTTCTCCTTCACGCTATGTGCTTCACTGTCCAATTTTTCCATAATGTTCCGCTGGGATTCTTCCACATGTTTTGCTGCCCAAAATATGTACGAATACTTCGTTGAAAAACTCTCGTCAACCCGCAAAAGGCCACAAGATATACTGTAGTTGCAAGCGCGCAAGCTTGGGTTTTAATGAATGAAAAGGCGGGATAGGGGGGATGGCGCAGCGCCCCCCCCGCAAAGGAAAGCAAAGCAAAATGACAATACCTAGTCTCACATGATCTCACATATAAAGCTGCAGCTTGAATATGGTATTCAGTGTGTATATATGACATTTATACAACATAGGACCTGCACATTGTGAATTGTAGAATCTAGGATGGGTGAGGCACCATAGTGTTCATTGATTTTTCCGGCCCATGGTTATTCCAGTAAAGCCAGCAAACAAACAACATAATTTTAAAAAGTCACAAGCCAAGTGATCCAAAACACAAAAGCAAATTACTTTACTTCGTGTGATCCCCACCATGACATTTATACATTTTCTTACTGGCAAATCTTGAGGCATTCTATCTGACATATCTTCTGGCATTCTATTTGGCATTCTATCTGGCATATCTTCTGGCATATCTTCTGGCATTCTATCTGGCAAATCTTCTGGCATTCTATCTGGCATATCTTCTGGCATTCTATCTGACATATCTTATGGCATTCTATCTGGCATTCTATCTGGCATATCTTCTGGCATATATTCTGACATATCTTCTGGCATTCTATCTGGCATATCTTCTGGCATATGTTCTGGCATATATTCTGACATATCTCTGGCATTCTATCTGGCAAATCTTCTGGCATTCTATCTGGCATATCTTCTGGCATTCTATCTGGCATATCTTCTGGCATTCTATCTGACATATCTTCTGGCATTCTATCTGGCATTCTATCTGGCATTCTATCTGGCATTCTATCTGGCATTCTATCTGACATATCTTCCTACATGAGGTCCGGCAGGGAACACTTGGCGTGGATACTCGCGGTTGAGGTCCGGCAGGGAACACTGGGCGTGGATGGTCGTGGTTGAGGTCCGGCAGGAACACTGGGCGGGGATGATCGTGGTTGAGGTCCGGCAGGGAACACTGGGCGTGGATGGTCGTGGTTGAGGTCCGGCAGGGAACACTGGGCGTGGATGGTCGTGGTTGAGGTCCGACAGAGAACACTGTGGATCGCGGGTCGCAGTTGGACGAGGACGACGAGGACGACGAGGAGGACGAGGACGACGAGGAGGACGAGGAGGAGAGGACGAGGAGGAGGAGGACGAGGAGGACGAGGCACGAGGCGGAAGGAGGCAACTAACATAAAATCTAACAACCCTCACCTGGCAGGTGGAGAAAAAAACACAGAAGCCAAAGAAGCCACAAGAGCCACAGAAGAGATAACAAACCACAGAAGCCATAGCCACAGAAGCCAAAGAAGCCACAAGAGCCACAGAAGCCATAACAAGCCACAGAAGCCAAGAAACCAAAGAAGCCGACAAAGCCAACAAAAGAAGTCAACAAAGCCAAAGAAACCAACAAAGTCAACAAAGCCAAAGAAGTCAACAAAGCCAACAAAGCCAAAGAAGTCAACGAAGTCAACAAAGCCAAAGAAGTCAACAAATCCAAGAATCCAAAGAAAGCAAGAAAGCAAAGGAAGCCAAGGAAACCCAAAAGCCAAGAAGCCACACAGGGCCAGAGGGAATCGGACCCAACCAGGAAAACAAAACAAACACACAAAAAAAAGCACCCGCAAGAAATGGCACTCCCTTTTCAACTAATTAATTATATAGGGACCCTCCAGCCGAAAATGTTCTAACTGCAGCGCACCAAGGCAGTCCAACCCCAAAACAAGTATATGCTGTACAATATAATTTTGACTGTCCAACTCAAATCGGTCCCTCTGTTGATTGTGCGACGCCAACCCATTTAAAAAAAAAAAAGAAACAGTAAAAAACAACCAAGCTGACCATACAAGACCCTATGCCCAAAAAACATCGGAAAACTTCGCAAAAACATGGGAAACATTAAGAACATAGAAAAATAAACAAGCAAATTGAAAGCAGTCATAAAACATTAGAAAAATAAACAAGCATAGCCAAAATGGCCGGCCATACAAGACTTCAAACATGGGAAGCGCCTTGATCTCTACCCGTTTTCTGAAAACATCGGACACATCCGCAAGAACATTGGAAAAATGAAAAAATAATCGAAAACACGGCAAGGTGCCCATACAAGATTTCAAAAACCTGAAAATCCATTATCTATGCCCATTTGTTGAAAACATTGGAAACATGTATTTAAATGCATTTAAGAAAACATTGAGAAAAACATATTTCCAAAACATCGGAAAAGCCAACAAAAACAACCAAAATGGCCATACAAGACTTCAAAAATGGGAAAGCCTTGTTCCATGCCCATTTTCTTGAAACATTGGAGAAACAAACGGCCATAAAAAAAAGTCCAATTTGGGAAAAAGCACAAGATTAGGAAAATCCTGGCAAATACCCAAATAAATACGAACACGATGCTGGACGAAAAAAAATTGCAAACCCTTGAGCAATCAGCTGTAATTACCGGTGTTGAAGAAATGTGCTATCTTGCTAGCCGGTGTTGAGGGGACGTGTTGTCAAGCAAAATGCTGAGGGGATGTGGTGTCATGCAAACCGGTGTTGAGAGTATGCGATATCAAGCAAACCGGTGTTGAGGAGATGGTCAAGCAAACCAGTGTTGAGGTTGTTGAGGGGGTGTGTTATCACGCAAACCCGTGTTGCGGGGATGCGTTATCGAGCAAACTAATCTTAAGGAGATGCGTTATCACGCAAACCGGTGTTGAGGAGATGCGCTATCAAACAACCCTGTGTTGAGGAGATGCGTTATCACGCAAAGCCGCCTTGAGGGGGTGTGGTATCAAGCAAACCGGCGCTGAGGGGATGTGTTATCATGCAAACTGGTGTTGAGGGTATGCGATATCAAGCAAACCGGTGTTGAGGAGATGCGTCACATGTTAGCTGGTGTTGTGGGGATGCGTTGTCAAGCAAACCAGTGTTGAGGTGGTTGAGGGGGGGTGTTATCATGCAAACCCGTGTTGCGGGGATGTGGTATCCAGCAAACCAACGTTAAGGCTAAGGAGATGTGTCATCATGCTAACCGGTGCTGAGGGGAGGCTGCAAACCGGTGTTGAGGGGATGTGTCATGAAAACCAGTGTTGGAGTGATGTGCTACCATGCACACTGGTGTTGAAGGGATGCGCTATCTCGCTAATAGTGTTCAGGGATGTGTGATCAAGCAATCCGGTGTTGAGGGGATGTGTCATCAAACAAGCCAGCGTTGAGGAGATGGGTCATCAGGCAAACCGTGTTGAGGGTATGCGCTATCAAGCAAACCGGTGTTGAGGGGATGTGTGTCATCAAGCAAACTGGTGTTAAGGCGATGTGGTATCAAGCAAACCGGTGTTGACGGGATGCGGTATCAAGCAAAACGGTGTTGAGAGCATGTGTTGTCACGCAAACTGTTGGTGAGAGGATGGGTCATCAAGCGAACCGGTGTTGAGGAGATGTGTTAACAAGCAAGCCGGTGTTGGGATGTGTTGTCACGCAAAGCCGCCTTGAGGGGGCGAGCCATGAAGAAACCGGTGTTGAGGGGACGCGTTATTAAGCAAACCGGTGTTGAAGAGATGCGTTATCACGCAAACTGTTGCTGAGTCTTCAAGCAACCGGGTGTGTGGAGGAAATGTGTTTTTACGCAACCGGGGTTGATGGGTTGTGTAATCATGATTGCGCTAGTTGCGCACTAGTACCTGTCTGTCTATCTCATTGCTCAGTAACCATTGTACAGTGGTTGCTGTAACTGTTTGTTTATTTCATACAGTTTCAATGGCCAACGTGTAGAATGTCAAGTATGTATTCGAATATGGTACAAACTGAACATCAACAACGACAGGACGCGGGACGTGGAAATGTATTGGGCAATCGGGTCCACACCCCCCTCCATTTTGCAAAAAAAAACATACAGAGCTAGCAAGGAGAGAGGAGGGAGGAGAAAAAGAAGGACAAGGAGGAGGAGGAGGAGGACATAGGAGGACAAAACACCTCTGATTAAATCTAACAATCCTCACCTGGCAGGCAGGGAACAACCATGAACAACCACAGAGCGCAGGACATAGAAATGTATTGGGCACTCAGGTCCACACCCCCCCTTCAATACATTAGATCAAGGTATGGGATTTGAAACATGCTCTCGTGCTGACAAGGCGCTTGATGGGGCCAACAAGTGCTTGCACACCAGCCATCTGTCCCAGCCCATGCTCTGGTCGCACATGAAGCGTACGATGCGCATTGTTCCTTTGGTGAAGTACCTTATGGAGGCGCTTGCCACGCCATCTCCGCAATTTTGGAAAGTGACAAGAAGTATGAAACAAGATCTGTGTGGGACTTCACTTTTTTTTTGCCCGGGCTTCCAGAGGGTTTGCCCTATCTTAGCCTCTGCTGGGCGGAGGACTAAGCCAAGCACGTGATTCACTTGGAGAAAGAACTATTGAACAAAGATTAGCTTGCCATTTGCATCGTGAAGTCATGAAGTGCATGACTCGATGACAGTGTCATCTCCGGGAGCCATGGCGAATATGGTGAGCCGAGCTGCTTCACCCGCCTCCAAACTGTCGTCTCTTCCACTTCTCCGATCTGAAAGCGCTTGCCATCAAAGCGATACTGGCGACGCCATGCTCTCTTGCCCTGCTCCCATCCTGTAGCAATAATAAGATGAGCGGCGTAGCATCAGCCAAATTGACATTCTACAAGCTGAATGGGAATGGATTCTCAATTCCCTGTCTCCCCTCTTTTCCAGTCGCGGCACCACTCCACACATCTGCAGAAGTGAGGAAAGATCTGGGATCCGCAGATTCCAACTCCAATGGCGAGCTGCTTCCCTGGGAGGATGGCCACCAGATTCGAGCATATGGAACAGACATCCTCAGAATATGGATCTGAGGAAGGCCGTCGTGTTGTCCGACCGTGTGCTCACTGGATCCTATGGCACTATTGGCACTTGCAGCCCAGGAGCGAACCCTGCTGGCCAAGAACTTCAACCTCAACTGTCCTGTCCTGATTCAGCTTAATGACGTGGGCCGCATGCCAACGTCCTCTCTCATCACCTGGGGTGGCAACAAGTGGTAACATTGTCTCCAAGCCCTCTGTTCGCCCCAAAAAAAAATAAATATAGGGGATATGATGATACATCTGTGGATATGTGCAACTTGATTGTATTTGCTTGATTTTGCTTGTGTTTCTATATTCTATATGTTTCTCCCATTTGAACTACGAATTGCAGCTTGGTGACGAACCTCTACTCGCTGCACTTTGCGCTGAGCATCTGCTGGAGCTCCGCTCGATGAAGCCAACCTCCCAGAGGATGCCTGCACGTCAACAAGGACCTTGACATCAACAAGCACACAATCTATGACTTATATGACTTAAAGAACTCTGAACACCTCCGAACACTAATCAGCTGAAGCTCCGGCAACCGCAACTGGCATTGCAAGTCACATCGAACTCTGGTATCAGTACCAAGAAAGATTGAAATGGCAGGGTAGGGCAACAATTTGCTTAATGCTTCTATTCTTCTCTCATATCGCCCGATGAGTTGTTTCCATGCCTGAAGGCTGTCCCTGCGACGGCTGGTGGTGATTGTGCTCCTATAGTAATCAGCACTGGCCAAGGTTTGCACATGTGTTCTGCTTCAAAATTTCATCTGCGCAAACGCTGCGTATGGATCAACTCATGAACTCCTGACTGCACGAAAAGCTCCGCGGAGGGAGGCCACAGAAGTACTTGCTTGTGTGCAAATGCCACCTCCTCAGATGAATGCAGGAGTTGAAAAGATTCAAAAAGCATCAAAAAGCCGTTAATTTAATATATGTTAATATGCTTCAATGCTCACTAGGGTGCCAGTGAAGGTGGATCTTGTCCCATTTGTATCCATTTGTATCCATTTGTATCCATTTGTATCCATTTGTATCCATTTGTATCCATTTGTATCCATTTGTATCCATGTGTCCCGGAGTGCCACAAACATCAACAGACCAAGATAAGCTGACACAAGTTCTCCCAACTCTGGTCAGCTAGCGCGCGAATACTGAGGAATCATTGCAGACTTGGCTAAGGACCTGTCCAACATCTGCGAGCTGCTTCAAGTGGCAACGGAAGTCAAGGGCGCTGTCTGCACTGTGTCCAAAGGCCACCGTGTTAATCCTGGGGAGCAGCCGGATTACTGTTGCTTTCATGAACAGTGAGTAAGTCTAAGTCGGAGGAACCCATGTTAATTATCCATAACCAATATATCTATATTATACATTAATATATACAATTTATATACACGTTACTGTCACATACCACCAAAGTACTATGATGTAAAATCACACCTGAGACCTTTTTGAAACCATCCAACCCATCCAAGCCATCCAAGCCATCCACCCCATCCAACTCGCAACCGTCCCATGAAGTTGTCTCAAGGCTGAGATAGACTGAGCTTCTGAATCTTGTTGGAACTCTTCATGAGGCTCGTCAGCTTGGCCAGAAATTCTGGTGGATCCCAAGGGTCACCATCTGAGAAAAATAGCCTGGGTGCGCTTGGTGATGGCACTGATAATGTGTACTTATAATACTGATGATACTGCTATTCAATTATATTATCTATATTGTAAAATATTATAAATTATTCAACAATGGCAAACCAGGGAGCACATAGGTGGGCCTCCCGTGAGTCTCGGGGCACCTCTCAGCACGCTGGACCTGGGCTGGGACCATTTGGATCCATGTGGGCAATCTCTTTTCTCCAACGCTGACGAGGATAAACAACATATATAAACTAAAAACAATGATTTAAGTTTGAATGATGCTGGTGCTCATGCCATCTCATGCCAAACATTGCCAAACCAGCCGAAACGGTTAACCACGTGAGCCTGGTATTGAAACAAGCGTCAACCAGGTAATCGGGTTTAATTGATTTTAACTTTTAACTGTAGCTCTGCCAAAGAGGGCGTGAATGATCACCGGTCAAAAGAGAGCTGCAAGCTGCAAGAATGAAGCCACCAAGATGCGCAAGTTTCGATCCCTTCCAGGCCAGAGGTGTAGTAAGTTTGCTCCTCAGGGTGAATCGGATGCCTCTGCAGCATCTCTGCTGCAGCGGAGGCAGTTTCCAAGGCAAACAGCACACGATATCGGCTGTTGAACGCCACCGCTGAGTATACATCAGAAGACCTGGAGCAAATGACAGCTGTTGAGCCACCGTCTGTGGTGGAAACATGGTGAAAGAAGGTGGCGCAGCGGACATTTTTGAGATGAGTTTGTCTTAAAGATTGAGGCGTCATGACTTTCTGCAGTCTGTGGCACGCTGTGTCTGGGAGATGCTTCTGCTGCCCTTTTTCAATGTCACGTGTCAGAAGACTCAGATGCTCTTTGACCTCGGTAATCATTTGTGATATTTGACACCCGTTGCCAATATTCTCCACAACTGAAGTCCACACATGGAACCATTGGAACCAGTCAAATTGACGCTATCTCAACAAGCTGCTGCTTGGATGCGCTCCTGGACAGAACCGTCTTGGCGCACGCAGTCGCGATTGGACATGCTGCCAGAGATATCCAGGACAATCACGTAGTGAGCAGCCAACTGCCAAAGTTTCGCACGACTCTGCAACTCACAATTTCTCAAAACATCTCAAAACCCTTCACGCCGGTGCTTCCTCAATGCATTGTGTTGGATCATGATCGATCATGTTTAGATTGCTTAGATCTTAGATCCTTTACTTTACAGGCTCTTGTGCATTGCGGCATGCAATGAACAGGACCCTCACACTGTTTCAAAGGATTGCGCCTGTGTGCGGGGAGTAGGAGCGGTGACGGGAATGGTCGACACGTTCTCCAGAGCTGGCAGTTCTCCTAAGATATCGGACTCCTGGACATCGGAGAGAAAGCCAAAAATCAAAGCGCCAAAACACGTGTATGTCCATGTAAGTAAGAATGTAGCTGAGAAATCCTCAACCGAAGTTTAATCAGCCAATTTAGGACTTGCGGACGAATGGTCATGGTCAGTTTTGACATCATGTCAACCACAATGTTAAGATATGTTAAGTATGTAGTTGGGACATATAGACATGAAACTGAAGATCACAGCAACAGTCCGGGAGCGTGTGAATGTGCGTGTGAAACAATGGAAGTGAACCCATGCCCCCCCACGGTTACCATTTTTACAGACAACATATTTTGGAGGATGCTTGCCGGGACGAAAAAGGTCTGTCTTATCGGTAAACCGTGGTAAACCATGATTTAAAGAAGGAAGAAACTCCAACACAGCTAAAAGAAAGCCTGGTGCTACCCCCAAATTGCTCTTATCTCAGATCCGTAAAAGCTGGAAAATAGAAAATTCAGACAGCCAGTTTCCATTAATTAGACGTTTCAATCGTGCGTAATCCACATTGACCTATTGTGTCTGGGTCTTAGTGTGCACCACCCGAAGCAGAAGAGCCACCTCTCTTCTTGGAATGCAATGAAGAAAACTACCTGTTTGGAATTCATCTCACTCGGTAGAATCCAGAAACCAGCTATATACTGTACAAGATTGGCAAGCCGGCAAGCCTGTGTGCAAACCACATGCGCAAGTTTGCAAAGCAAAAACATACATGTTGCCTATTGAACCAAAGGAACAAACAAATGATTGGCTGTCTCTGCTCGGCGTCTACTGTGATCTGTGGGATGTGTTCGTGGTTTCTGATGTTTCTGCAAAACGAATCCGGGTCCTCAGAGGTGTCTGAAGCATCGTCGGGGCGCTCCGGCTCCTCCGGCTCCTCCGGCTCCTCCGGCTCCTCCGGCTCCCGTGGACTTGCTCCAGCGTCAGCGGCTGACTCTGGGATTCCCAGATTTGGAGCTTCCCATGAGCTCCTTGGCTTGCTTGCCTGGCCTCAATCTGTTCATTTCAACACAGAGAAGAGGGGAAATGCAGCATTGCCTCATTCACTCCCTCATTATATGCATCCAGACGTACAATACGCTACAAGATGCTACAAGAGCCCTGGTGGTCACCTGCTGCCCATCTCTGGCCTGGTTCCACCTCATTCGCTTGCGGTTTAGCACGTGCCTGGCTGGGAATCCACCTGCTCCAAGCCTGTTGGCCAAGGTTGGGCAGAACAAGGAGATGGTGTGTGGCCTACCATGCCAGAGTCGTTGGAAGGCCCTGGGCGAATATCCGCAATCTCTTGTTCCGGTCTTGTTCAATACCCTTCCTCTAACTTCGTCAACTTGACATGGCCCCCGGACTGGTCCAGCCTCTCTTGCTGGAGCCGCTGGAGCTTCTTCATCTGACCACTCACTCTCAAGCTGCTTGTGATTCTCCGCATGCGCAGACCGGAAAGTTCGCGAGACATAGCCTCTGCCTCATTGCAGGATGATACCCTTAATTAACCTGCTACAGTAACAACCTAATACTGCAATCACGATTTCCAATAAGCTGCTTGCCCAAGTGAGAATGGATACGGATACTGTAGGATAAACTTGGAGAGAACAGAATGGAAGTAGCATGCTGCTGCTCAATATTGCACCAGCCATATCAAGCACCAGGTGCCAAAGTGCTTCCAATGTTTCGCCCGGATACCTTGTGCTTCCACTGCCTGGATATCTTTGAGGAGGCTGGCTTCTCCGCGGGAGGCCTCACGGCTGCGCCAAGATACTCAGTCTGTAATGGAAAAAATGGAAAAAGCTACAGTACGCTTTCTGAGCCAACATATTCCAACATGGTAATGGTACGTAATGGTTGCACTATGTTGCACTGCGACACAACTTCGACAATGTTACGCCTTGAAGACCTCCAATAGGGCCCTATTGACATACAGTAAGACTCTATTCGAATTCCTGAAGCCTGTGATGCCCTGGCTGCCAATTCCCTCTAGTGCTCTGGATGGGCCATCCCATGCCTTGTGCATCTCCATTAGCCGCTTTGTTCGGCTGGGATTGACACGGCACAGGTCTCGCAATGCTCCCTCTGTGCTTCTGGAATAGCGCCAGTGCGACACAAAGTCGGGAATCCTGGGCTGGTGAATCTATGCCTATGGGCAAGGCAAGTCACAGCCTTGCAAAAGAATTTCTCTCCAGAAAGTACTTCCCTAAGATTGGCACTGCAAAGTGGTAGGGAGGGGAACAGGAAGCAACTCATGCTACAGATTGCTACAGTAAAAATGGATTCGGAAATTAAACGCAAATTTGAAGATAAATCAGCACGCAAACACGCCAAATTAAGTTGAAAAATAGGCAGCCAACAAATCCAAGCGTCGACTTTTCCACCTGACACCTGCGTGTTCGCACAGCCATGCGATGGACATATGCCGCAGGGTTCGTAATGGAGCCATACGGCACGCGCTCTGTGAAGTTGTTGTCCCGCAAAACGTCTTCCAGCTCTGATGGAGCGAGATTTCGCAAAGTTGAGCGTAGCTCAGAGATTGCTTCTTGCGAAAGAATGGCTGCCCTCATCACAACCTTGCTCCGGACTTTCATGGGTTTTGGCATTCCAGCAAACTGAAATCTAACTGAGAAAGACACATTCATTATTCAATATCATTCCCATTTACATAGATCCGCAGCCCTGGAAACAATAGAAATCGCTCCTCAACATGACACATTGGTTCAAGGCACCTTCATAAGCGAATCAATTCGCTCAATCGAACTCTGATCCAGTTCACCAGCGGTCGCTTTTGCTGCAACTCGTGAAGAGAGAATCCTGGACCACTCCTCTGGTTTCAAGGATAGGCCTTTCTTGTCAACCTCCAAGCTGTGAACCATATCATAAGCTGCAGAGGTTTCCAAGCTGAACAGGTCCCTCCTGGCTGGTCTTGTTAGCTCGCGTCTCCTGCAGAAAGACTCCACGTATTCCCGCTGCTTGGTTTCATCTGTTGGATCCGGTTGTGTTGGATCAGGTCGCGTTGGATCCGCCTGTGCTGGCTGTGCAGCACCTTGATCCAGCCAATCAGATGGCTGAACCGCCCTGACTTCGCTGACTGTGGCATTCGGCTGTTCTGATTGCCAGCTGTGCCACTGTGGCCACGGTTGCCACTGCTGGCATTGTTGCCAAGGCTGTTCCCACGCAGCTTGCTGCTCCCAACTTTGCTGGTTTGGAGCGTTCTCCCATGCTGCGGCCGAGTTCCACTGGCCACTGGCAACTTGAGGCTCAATCCAGCTGGCATGCTCGCTCCAGCTGGCAGACTCACTCCAGCTGGCAGGCTCAGTCCAGCTCACAGGCTCAGTCCAGCTTCCACGCTCACCCCACCCAGAAAAATTGTAGCTGGGAGGCTCAGAGGTGTCAAGTTGTGGTGCTTGACCGCCTCCATCACGATTCACAAAGTCGAAGGGTTCTGGACTGGCGAGCAAATCACAGATAGACCGTTGCAGTCGGATCGGAAGACCAAACTTTGGCATATCCGAAGGTGGATAATATGCGAGGTCGAAGAGCCTGACGGGAAATGTTACCACGCAGCAGAACAGACTCAAATCCCCAAACCAGCAGTGTCAAAAGTATTCCTTCCTTTCCATCCGTTTCCTACCGTGTTTTGGAGATACTTGATACTGCATACCTACTTGTTTTCTCTTGGCACTTGCAATCGAGATGCGAACAAAGCGAGGTGAAACCTTCCTTTTCCAAGCGCTCTTGATACGTCTTCCTCAAGCTTCTGGGTCATGAGGCACTATGCTTGGACCCTAATCTAGGGTGCCTTATGGTGCCTTCGAAGGGTAGGGAAGAAAAGCAGAATGTCATGCTATGGGATCTCAAAAGGGAGACTACCAGACCATGCCAACTCATACCAAGGTCCTTATTGCCAATCATATGTAATTGCAACTATGTTTGTGTTGGTGAACACTTGAAGAAGAAACGCAGTCCGCACGCACAAATATTCAATTGAGGTCATTGCACCATGTATTCACATATTCCATGCTCTAGACTTTAGATTCTATAGATAGTTACAGATACAGTAGTTAGTTACTAGTTAGTTCCAGGTCGAACAAAGACCTCCGCCGAACGCAAGCCTATGCATAAAGACTTTCAAAACAAGTTGTCTAGGGATGTCTAGGGTAAGAACACGATTGCAATGAGAGTCAGGCCAAGCCAAGCATCAAATCTTGCTCTGAAAATCCCATGACAGTCATTTTCCGTCGCATAAACCTGAATAATGCCGAAAAAACATTGTTGAAGAATGCACGGTGGACTCAAAAAAGGCGTGTCATTGGTTTAAAATGAATGGTCAAGAGAGTCTAGTGGTATCAACTTGCACTGTAAATCATGCCCAAGAAAATCACGAAGTTACCACTTTGACAGAAGCGGACTTTTCTAAGCCCGAAGCTGGTCCATGGATGGTAGTCGCAATCTTGCAGCCGCCTCATCGTTGACGGGGTGTCCCAATTGAAGATCTTGATACTGGCTGCCACCTGCATCCAGCAGTTGGATGCAAAAGTAAACAACAATAATACGAGTCATACGATTATTTTTTCCTCAATAATGATCGGCAACATGTATATGACATTCTATTCTATTCATCAATTCTTCCTTCCCAAATCTTCCCAACAGTTCTGCACAAGCCGAAGCCCTTCCTCGCACGTTGACCAGTTTTCCGTTGGTCGTGCTGGTCAAGGCATCCTTGGAAATCAGCAAGTCAACATCAAGTGCTATCAAGACTTACGTTCCGCGAACAATAGGAAAAAACATGTATAATAGAAACAATGGCTGAACAATGCTGAACAAGATTAATTAATCAAGTTTACCACATGTTCCCGGATGTTCCCGTAAAACAACGAGAAATATGCTGCCCGTGGTGTTCATGTTTATTCAAATTTGTGTTTGCCAAAAAAAAGGATGTTGATCGATGTTGGGTCTCTCATGGTCTCTCTATCATTCAAGCAGCCATCCACCGACTTGTGACTCTATCCACTGTTGGAAGGTCTCGTGGGGTAATGTAGCATGGGCAAACGCTACAGCACCCGAATGCATGGGCCACACGGAAGACATAGAGCCGGCGGTTGTTCAGAGACCACAGGAAGCCATCTTTCCAAACGACTTCCAATGGCGCATCCTGAAAGGGAGCCATTGGTAGAAACATGTAGAAACTGCATGGAGTATCTGACTCAAAGATATTCAAAATATTCAAAGTAGCTGGCCTTATTATTGCTGATTCTGTGTGCATACACGCGTGCTGCACATACTTGAACAGTTTGAACAGTATTGATGCATAGTCAAAGACGTAAAAAGATCTTGCAAATTAGCCGCCAGCAGGCTTTGAACACCAGGAACAAAAATGGCAGAGGTGATATCAATCGTCCTTGAAGTGTTCCGCTGACAACTCATTGCGGCAGAACTTCTCAATCGTAGCATCCAAACCGCAACCATTTTGGAATGCCTTGAGGGTCTGACTCAGTTTGGGCCGCAAAACCACAGCGAGACAAAGTGCAAAATCATGGCACAATCATGGCACAACTTCTCTAGCCAAGCTGCTGCACTAATTTCTGCATGGGTGAAGCGGATGGATAAGGGACTCAACCAACTCATACGTCGCCAAATCTCATCCCGCTCATCACCAAAGTTCATGGCTCAGCTGGTGACTGATTGGTCTGACCGCTACCCAGCAGAGTCAATGCTGCGGTCACTGACAAGATGCATCTTGATGAGATGAGAAGGAAAGAAAAACTAGTTTACTAGTTGACTACATTGCGAACATGAATCATGGAGGCAGCATGTCGAATTCTCAATTGCTTGACAGCTTGACCGCCTGCATACTGTCTAGTTTTAGTCAACTAAACTGCGAACAAGGAGACAGCACACTAAATTCTCACCAGCTGGATAGCAGGGGTGCTACCTGCTCAGTTCTTCTGGCGGATTGATGAATGATGAATCCTGAATCCTGACTTGCTTAGGCACCAGAAATTGAACGGTGCTTTGCAACAGCAGCAAGTCGCCAGTGTTGGACCCTGACCACCCTTTTAAGAGCCTCTGCCAATACCGCGGAAGATGCTCGGCCAGCTTTGACCCACACCGGGCACAAAGGCTATACATCCCGTAAGCGTTCTGCACGACAACGTTGGCCATGGCCGCTGTGTCTGCCTTGGGCAACGCAGCCCTTCCACCGTATGGCGGGCGTCTCGAGAAGGCGCTGACAGCTCTACATGCTGTAAATGCCGTGGCTGCCAGTTGCAGTATTATGGATTTCAACGGCATACTGTTGTGATACGGTGGGTAGCAACTGGCAGGCAGGGCTCTGTATGCTGAAAATTAGCATTTCGATGCATTTCGACTCAAGGCTGCTTGTGGCATGATCTAAAGGCATGCATGCTGCAAACTCAGCCTCATGCGAAAATAGTAATTATTGACGCGGGGCTGGAAAAGAGAATGGAACCTGCGGTTCCAGTTCAGGCCCGATCATCCAAAAATCGAATTCTGTGCCGTGGGGCTAAAAGGCCTTCTAAGGATTGGCATAATGACGACAAAGCAAAGTTTTGGTATGGTCAGTCTACCAGCTCACTTGGAAATTTCCAGGAGGACTTGTCCTGGTAGAACGAGAATGAACATGGAATGCCTGCATGCGTTGAAACAGTGATATACCAGTACATGGTGTCTCAGAACAACACATGCTCTTGACTCTTAACCCCTCTCGTTTGCTCATGCCAAGGTCCGAACATGTTGGAAGGCCTTAAACATCCTTAAACTTAAACGATTGGATACGATTGGGGTACGTGGTTGAACGTGGCAAGCATGCTAGGCTTAGCACCCCAGCACAACACCCCCAGGTGACCCAAGGTGTCTCTTCGAATCTATTGAGAAGTTCATCATGTTTCTTCGTAATGCTTCGCAATACTTCGTGTGTTTCCATCATGTTCCATCCCAGGCTGCCCAACAATGATCAATTCAGCTCATCCTGAGGATGGTTCAAGAGATTCAGGACCTTTTGGGCTGCGCACCCATAAGATTTCTCGATCTCCAATTTGGCCTACAAGGTGCCATCACTGGCAGCACAGCATGGCTCTGGTGATTGCGTCGCATGTCGTGCCTCCTTCACAGCGACAAAAAGGATCTTCTCCTCTGAAGCATGGATTTCCAATCTTCACCAAACTGACCAAACATCGCCAATTATTCAATTCTGCCAAATTGAGCCAGGTTCAAGATCGTCCAAAATGTTCCAAGAGATTCAAGAAGGAGCCTGATCGGATTTTTCTTGGAGTTGCAAAGGCTCAGGCAGTCTGTTCCACAGCGCAGTGGCTGTGTCCAGTGAATTCCTGGACCTGCAAAAATAGTCAGCTGGAATCATTGACTGAGGGCACCTTGCAGGCGATTCTAAAAAATTGCCCGCGGTTCAAACGCTGCTACCATAAGTGCAGCAAGTGCGGCTTGCACACTTGCCTGTAGGGTACCAATTACTATGCCACATGGGCCGGCGCCTGGAATTGTGATGTCTGTACAGTGCCAGAATCTGACTGGCTTAGCGCTGTGCTTCCATGAGCATCTGAAAGCCCACTTCACACTGCCGCAATGCTTCCTCCAAGCTTGGAGGGGAGGCTTGGCTCAGTCCTACGGAGTGCTTCAGATACAAAATCACGCAGGCTTTTAGCAACAAGAAGATCAGAGATCGATAGATACAAGTCCAAGTGGCAAAGTACTGAAACTTGTTGCAAAACTATGAGGAAGGCCCATGACCCGCTGAAATTACAGTACTCATATAATCATATAATCATATATTACGTATTACACATAGGAGATTTTGGATGATTTAGGACAGTCTGTTCTTCCATCTCACCTCCTGTGGACTTCCCAAAGGCCATCTCATTGAGGCCTCAATCTGCACGGTGTTTTTCTGTGCGTTGCACAGCTGTGGAATTCTACCCGCCTCTGGCAATAACCTCGAGCCGCCGAGTTTGTTCCGGCCTCAACGACTCGCAAAACCAGAGCGAGCGGGCATGGGGGGGCTACTCTGGCCCCATCCAAATGCACATCACAAATGTCGGAAAATTCCAGGTCCTGGTCGTCTCAACAAAGGTGTAATATCGTGTAATTAATCATAATCCAACTGAAGGTCAACAGTCTTAATTGCTGAAGTGGACTCAAACAGGCATGGTCAAAGACTGTCAAAGCGTGTGCGAAACTAGCAACACATCAAAGGTATGCAATTCCAAGGTCTGCACGCTCGAGCAGCATTGTTCATACAATGGCGACAGGCACGCTGGGTGGTGCTTCTCCCTTCCTGAGCTGCGAATTCGTTGTGGAGGTCATTGATGGATGAAACAATAAAAGTAAAGAAAGCTGAAGTGCTACTAGCAGTGCTACTGCTTCTGTATCTTACTTCTGTCCTCTCTTTGCATGACCTGCTTTCCCAAACAAGTCACCATTGTGATGCAGCTTGGAGAGCATTGCCCACACACTGGCCGAAGACAAACCCGGCAGTGATGGCGAGGATTTAGAAAGCCTCGGAAGACCACAAAAGCCAAGCAGTTGCATCGATGCATCAGTCAACCCAAATCAACCAAGAGACGTTTGCCCAGTCTGCAGCTGCAAATCCAGCAATGCGATTCGCTGACATTGGGGCATCTACCTTCACGCTGATGATTTCTACTTTAAACGGACGACTTTCCTGTGATAACCTACCCCTGTGGCGAAAAACGAAACCAAACCCTCTGATATGACAGAGGTGGCTGTGCTGCCAGCTATCGTCGACAAAATGGAAAGTAAATTAAATGGATCCAATTTGTCGTGAGTCTCTGAAGCGGCAGTGTCCCTCTGCAGCCTGCAATAGGTCCTGGCTCCAGCGAGCAGTCCGACATGATTCGGCCGGGAACTTCAACTTTCTCCGGCCACATCCTGCAGCATTCCAAGTTCAAACCATACCACTAGTTGTGGTTTATAACATCTTATAACATCTTATAACTTTATATGCACTGTAACATACTGTAACAACAACCTACAATAATCATCAATAACCGACCAGTCAGTTTTTCTCACCTGTCAGCAATTCCGTCCGCTGAATCCCCTGCCCTCGGATCCTGCACTCACCGCGCTTCAGGCGGTCCAATTCTTTTTGTACCGCAGTGAGCTCTTCCTCGACTTCCCTGCGACGACGCTCCTCGGTGCGGTTAAGATCTTCCAGATCTTCCAAGTGTCATAGAAAAGTCTCATGTGAAGAAAGAAGCGCAGCTTGATTCTTGGCTCATGGACATACACCATGGTGAACCTAAAATGATGATGTATGATGACCTATGTCAATCTGGATAAATCTGGCAGATCAACTGCAAGAAAGCCACAACAATTTTGTGCTTCACGCGCTCTTTCCTGAATGTTCAGTACAGAGAATACGTTCGCACTGAAGTGCATCATGTGTCATTGTGCTTTCCCTGACCAGCCCTCCTCAACGGTTCTACTGCTTCTTCACAGCAGGTGAGCGCAGCCTGGCACTTGTGTACTGATATATATTATAGTCTATATATATAATATCATATATGTATATATATATATATAATATGTATATATATATATTATCCACTGCTGTATATTTATCTATAGTGGAATAGCTACGTCATGTCACGTGGAAGAGACCTAAGGAATCACAAGGACACAAACCTGACATATATGAGGAGGTCGATGTGCTAGTCCCAAACACACGAATGCAACTCAGTCCTCCGCAAGGGGCTTATTGCTATGGCAAAGGGAAAGAGCAACAGACGTGCCATTTTGACATGATCATGTCCAAAAAATACTCCGTGTAAAATCATCAAAAGCATTCAAAAGCCACATCCCATGATCTTTGTAGTTTTCTGGGCATGGGAACCTGGGTCAGTGGCGCATGCAAATGCACCGATTTCACATCATATATGAGCAATCTCGGAAACTCCAGGCTCACGAAAAGGACATCAATAAATTTGGGAAGGTCCCATTGCTTACCACACGTTTTCACAAAAATGATATATGGGAAATTTGACAACCAATGTCCGTCCCTCATATGTTTCCTATTGGATCCTATTCAATGTCCTATTCGAGTTTTTGTGGTGGCTCATATGCAAGCACTGACTTGCCAAAGATTCGGTTGACCCTAACTACTACCAGTGCCCGCCAGCGGTACCTCTAAGGTTGGCGGTTCTATGTCATCTGGCGACCTTGATTTGGCACAGCTGAGACATTGAACATCTTTCAGCACTTGACTTTCACTTAACTTTCAGGGCCTACAGTAAATACATTGTAAATACTGCTCGCTACTGCTCGCTTTGGCCTTGCCTGCCACTCAAGTCTGCAAGCTGTCGTGCTAAGAAGGAGAGCTGCTGCGTGATGGCATTCCTCAGTGAAAAATGCGTCAACGATATCACCATCGGCCCTGGGTGGCGCATGCTTAAGGTACTCCAGGTGGAGTCCACCTTGTTGGGATTTCCCACTGCGCAGTTTTTTCTGGTTGCTCAGCTTTCTTTTGGGCCTCCACAGGTCGTGTCCTAACGTATCACGAAGACCCTCTCGTCCCCTCTCAGAGAACCATAAAAAGAACCTCATGGTATTGAAAGATTGCCAAAGCATCAAACATCATCAAACCAAAGGAACTACCAGTACCCATAAATGAAATCACTGGGGGTTCCCTGTCGAGGAACGCCTTCAGAGCATTAGAAGCGCATGCTGTGCAAGAACGTTCTAGGACGTCATCGATCATCACTCTGCATTGTGAACCTCATTGAGCGATAGCTTCTGCAGAAGGTGGGTTGGAGGGGTCCAAACCTCCCATTTTTGGGGAAAATGATCCTCATTTCTTCTTCGATATGCTTGTAGAAATTTCAGGACAAGAAGTCTCACGGGTGTTTAATATCGTTTAATTACGAGGAATCTAGCACGACTATGAATAGCGGTTGTTCAATGTGGAAAATCTATGGAACAACTGCCGTGACCGCGTTACCGCGCTGCCGTCAAGCTGCAAGCTCCACAAACCTCAGTGTACAAAGACCAAAAAACGAAACACGCACATGTGGACAGCGACTTCCGGAAGAGCCCAACATTGATAACATTGGAATACTCTCATAAATTGTCATACATCTTATATCATCTTATACAGATCATTTAATGATCATTTGATCCATTTGGATCCATTTGGGTTCTTTTGCATTTGGTGCATCTGTGGTTCCCACCGGTCGTTTGCAGATTCGGCAATGATGGCGTGGATTGAACCGCCTCTTGCCTAAAGCGCCTCAGCATCCAGCGCCACACGGCCACATTGTGTGGAGCATTGTGGGGCATTGTGTGGAGCTATCATGAGCCTTGCCTTATCGTGACAGTGTCTCAGCCTTATCAGCCTTATCAGCCTTATCAGCCTTTCAAGCCAAGGTTCTGCAACAGATCCAGCAAGTATCATCCCCCGGATGATTTATCCTAGCAAGGTCACAACATGTCACAACTCCCGAGCCCTCACAATGAGATGAAATGTTGCTGAATTGTGCAGACTCACGTTTTGGATCGTTTTAGCCTGTCCTGTCCAAACCCGGAACTGTTGAGGCTGACGACTGGTCCGATGAGAATGTTGATGTCGGATCATTTGGGTTCATGGCAGTCATGGCATTTGCCACGATTGGGCTCTACCCACCTATAAATCCGACCTTGCGAAATCGTGAGATCCACACCTATAAAGGGCAAGCCGCACAATGCACCCACCCTGGCTGCAAACCTTAATGTTCAACCAATTTGCAAAAGAATGTTGAATGTGTCCATGGTATAATTGATAGTATTCAAGTGATCTTTATCTCATGAATTCCAATGACAGTCTCATGAGCTCATGAAATTCTTATCGTGAGCGCCCTCCCTACCCTACGCTAACCTCACTACACAGGCCCGAGGAGTTCTCAGAGCTTGAGCCAAGGCGACAGCCAAAAAGTGTTGTGACTGAGGGATCCCTCATTTGATGAATATGTCTGAAAATGTGCATCGATTTTCCCTTGTTCATTCAATTCTTTGTTCCATTAATTTGCCCTTCTGAGAATCAAACTACCATCATAGTTCTACGCAATTATGAAGGAAAATCAAATCTGGAAAATTGAAGTGTTTGAATGAAGAACAATCGATTACACTTTGCATGATCTGCGCCTCGTGTATTACAAGTGAAACGGACGTGGTCAGAAACCTTGCCATCTGGTTCGCAGTTCTTATCTTATGTTGAACCTTGTTGATGTTCTGAATTGAAACTCTTGTTTATCGGGTATGTCACTCTATTACTTTTTGTTTAACATTCATAGTACTTGCCCCAGGTGTGATACGAAAGACAACTGCTGCATGTTGCTTCGTCCTGGGTGGGCTTCGGCAACAACCTCAGGTCAAGTCTGGTCAAGGCCTGGTGCACATGACATTCGGCCGATATTTCGGACAGAATGGAATTGACATGTTGTACATATTTATATATATATATATTATACTATAATATTATATGTGTGTTATAGATATATATAGATATATATATATATACGAATTGACATATTCTAGAGAAAGGGGAGGTACCGTATGGCACAATGGATGCCGATTAGTACTGGCATGCGCACTGGCGTGGCGTGCCACATACATGACATAGGATCATAGGCAGACAAGCAAGCACAGAAGCAAATACAGTAGTGAACAGCCCTATAAGCACGCATGTATTAATGTACGGCTTCATACGCGCATGACAGAGCATGCGAGCGGACAGTGTAACACTGTAACGGGTTGCAAGCAGTGGATGCGCATATGTTTGCATACATGCGGTGCATGCATGCCAACACTTCTATCACTTCCAAGAAGCGATCTCACCATGCCCTTGAATGGATGTTACAACGATGCAGGACGTCATGAATGGCAAAAGAAAGAGTTTCAAAACACATCAAAACGCAAGGTTTCAGCATTCGATTTCGTCGCACCACAAGAAATCTGACTCAGCTAAGCTGTCGGCCTCTTCACCACATGCCATAAGCCATTGAAGGCGTAAGGGGCGCTCACCACGAGGGCACGACGAAGGCGTCCCCGATAGGCATGTTTTAACATCTGGCAGCTGGAGAATTTATGAGAGATGTCTAATTTTTTTGCATCAAGATTTACTGCGGGTAAAACATTGTAAAACAATAAACCGCCCATTTGGGAATGGTTTACACCACCTATGGTGATTTGGGGGATGGTTGATTGTTTTACCATGTTTTACCCACATTACACTTGTTTTACCCACATTGTTTATTGTTTTACCATGTTTTACCCACATTACACTATATAAATGCATCTAAATTCACTAAATGACTTGCTGACGTGCTGGTCAGCTGCTCCAACCAATGTCCAACCTCCATAGCAGCGATGGCGGGGCGAGGATCCAGGTTCTTGCTCAGCTGAAAGCCCCGGCAGTCGCAAACCTCAAAATGCAAAGTGTCTGGCTACAGCATCAATCAAAAATTAACTATATATTATATATATATATGATGATATATAATATCAACCCAGTATACATGTATAATATACGCCTTTACCAGATGTTAATAGGTGTGAAATAATATGTTGAAAACATTTGAAAACATGACTCTCTCATCCGGACAGCAGAAAACAGCTGCTTGAGACGGTGATGCACCGCTTTATGGCCACAACGTGAGGAAGTATAGGTGCAACCGAAGTGCCACGTCAAATCCCCACGCTCCATGATTCATGTGTTGGCATGCAGCTTCCAGAACTGCGGCCATATGCTCAATAATGCTAGCACCTAAGCACGTGTCGAATCGTGTCGAGGTTGAGGCATGAGGTCGCTTCCAGTGGGGACAAAGGCCTGTTCCGGCTCCTGCCAAGCGACTGTTTGATGCAGGAGGTTGATGCGCCATCGACATAAAAATCCTCGAGACAGAATGAGATCATCTGAGCCTGGAGTAGAATGTCTCATTTTATACCGCATCTCAAAATGTGGCATGTCCAAAACCAGCAACATGTCTCCCTTTGGTGACCCGTGTGCACTATAGCACTTACTTATATAATACTAATATACTTATATGCAGTGGCTTAAAGCAACAGCCTGCAGTGGCAACAAAAAGCTTACAGGAAATAGTTTCAAAATGTGGAAACAGAAACATTCATTTTGGATCATTTAAGGTTGGGAACTCTTGGCTTGGGTCCACCCTTTTCAGCTTTGTGGGCACTGGCTCCCCTGTTGCATTTTTCGCTTCTCTACGAGTACCATGCTCTACCCATACTGCCTCGTACAGCACACAGATACCTAGAACTGAAAGCGCACAGGATGTCCCTCCAACATCTTGAGACTATGCCAGTTGAGGGCAAGAGCTGTCAGATTCGTTGGCACAAGGTTTTCTTGTATGCAGCCAGGGATCACTGGATGTCCAGACCCAGCACGTGCAACAACTCGCATGTCTCCCTGCACGCTATGTCAACACAATTCAACACATCTGTCAACACAATTCCTGCAGCCGGCCAACATGTGATTCTGATGGGATGCCTGCCAGCAAGATGCTTTGGCACCAGTCAGGATGGCGCGGTGTTTCTGCCGCCAGTTCAACGCTATGGCGAGTGACTTCACTGCAGTATCCTGGGGTGACGCCACAACTTTCACACATGGCGCTGCAATGTGCCACAGTGTGCCATGGGGACTGGATGAAAGATGATTAAAATTGATTATATAAAACAATGTCCGATACTCTCTGGCGGCTTGTTCACATCGTCACAACAGTCCTGGGAGGATGCCTTTGCAAAAGCTGCCAGCACCTGAAAACTCTCCCTAGAAGGTTTCCCAGCAACCTGCCCAACGATCCAAAGGGTATGGCACCTCTGCTGTACACCACTTCTTCAACCAATCATCTAAACCTCCTTCGACTTGTGGAGCAGCTGCCTGCAAGACAGTTCATCCCACTCCAGCACAAACGAATGCCGCATGATGGGTCATCTGCACAGGGAGTCACAACCTACACCTTGCCATAAAAAAGGGCAAAATGGGCTGGCTCCTGCAAGAGATTCTGCTCCGCTTGTGAACTTTCCCTGGAGCATTCCAGATTTGCGCTGCTTTTCTTACCTCGGCCAACTGGAAGCTGTTCGACACTGCAGGCCCAAATGGTGAGTTTTGAGCTCAAACATCTTTATCGAAAGAAAGGAAGACTTGAGGCCATGGGAGGTAAACGGAGAAGGAGGAAGATGTGGTGAAAGAGGGGTGTGAGGAATTGGGAGATACGAAGTCGAGAGTAAGTCTCATGATGCTGATGATGCTGATTGCGATGATGTGGCGAGGATGTCCCGGGGGGGATTGAGGGACAGCACAATTGTTTCCAAAAGAAACAAGTGGTGGGGAGGGTGGGGTACAAGCAGTTGCTTTAACTGTGAAATCTCACGCGATCTGGCGATTCCAGCCCCTGCCGATACCTTCCTAAAGCAAGAGGGGCTTCAGCTAGCAGAAGCTAGCTTTTCTGATTGTAAAAACATTCCAAAACAGCAAATCATCACTTGAATTCACGTGATAGAACCACAGAACCGCACAGAACCACTGTTCTGCCGACGCAAAGCGCTTCTTGCTCGTATAGCCCACCACGCCAAGTTGCAGTCCACGTTTTGTTCTTTTGCCTTGGGATATTTTCAGCATGCACACTTGCAGTCACTTGCAGCTCTAAGCCAAAAGTAACCCAGAAAGGATTTCGAGAAAATCGGCTGGCATCCACTGGTCCAGAGTCAGATCTAGTTTTGCACAGTGGTTGCCAAGTCAGTCAATGTAGTCCAAAAAATCCAATTGTCTCAGGTTTTGCAGTTGAATCATTGAACGTGAGGATGTCGTTGGCAATGTACAGGCATCAAAATTGGGGTACTTCCAAATACAATGGCTAATCAATGCTAATCATCATTTTCCCCATCTAATTTCTCCATAAATTGCCACGGGGATATACCTCCAGACAAAACCATACAAAACCCACAGGAATGAAATCCATCGCGGCCTTCACTCGCAGAGGTAAAAGGGTTGGCTGTGCAGCCTGATCTGCCTCATCCATGCAGGCATGCAAGTTCAACGAATGACCGGATACAGTATGAGTCTGAAAAGAATCTCTGTACGTATGAGCATGTGTATATATATATAGAGAGATACATCTGTGTGTAGAGTGTAGAGGTGTGTAGAGGACATATAGATACCAGTAGTACTGCACAAGGCGGTGGCGGAAGTTTCAAAAATAGGAAACCTATAGGAGAGGTTGGTTGTTGTGAATCAGGGATGGCAGAGCGAAGCCACTGATGGACTGAAAGGTGCTTCACCTCTCTCTTTTTCTCTTTTTCTCTCTGTTTCTCTATCTTTCTCTGATTATCTACCTACCTACCTACCTACCTACCTACCTACCTACTGATGTATCTGTTTATCTATCTATCTATCTATCTATCTATCTACCTATCTATCTATCTGTCTATCTATCTATCTATCTGTCTGTCTGTCTGTCTATCCATCCATCCATCCATCCTCCATCTATCTATCTATCTATCTATCTAATCTATCTATATATCTATCCATCCATCCATCTATCCATCCATCTATCCATCTATGCATCTATCCGTCTATCCGTCTCTCCGTCTATTCTGTATCCATCTATCCATCTATCCGTCTACCTATCTATTTATCTATCCATCTATCTATCTTTCTACCTATCTATCTATCAATTTATCTATCTATCTATCGATCTATCTATCTACCTGTCTATGTATCTATGTATCTATCTATTTATCTATCTATCTATCCATCTATCCATCTATCTATCTATCTATCTATCTGTCTATCTGTCTATCTGTCTATCTGTCTATCTGTCTATCTGTCTATCTGTCTATCTGTCTATCTGTCAACCTGTCTATCTGTCTATCTCTCTATCTATCTTTCTATCTATCTTTCTATCTCTCTTTCTATTTCATCTGTCTATCTGTCTAGCTGTCTAGCTGTCTACCTATCTATCTGTCTATCTGTCTATCTGTCTATCTATCTACCTATCTATCTATCTATCTATCTGTCTATCTGTCTACCTGTCTATCTGTCCATCTATCTATCTGTCTGTCTGTCTGTCGGTCTATTTGTCTACCTGTCTATCTGTGGTGCAGTGTTGGATTCACAGCGGCTTGAACGTGTGAATCGAAGGGAAGGAGGACATATTCTGGGTTACCAAAAGAGATCGCAATGGCTGGCCGGCCCAGACATCAGAGATCGTAATGGCTGGCCGGCCATCCACTTTGCAGCAGTGTAGTGGAGCGTAGTGGAATGTAGTGGAGTGAAATTTTACGAACATCTCTCATGAACATGTCCTTTGTACTGCGCCTGCCACGGAAAATGCATCTTTGCAGATCCTCTTCAAATGTCCCATGCCTATCCATGCCTGCCATCGTTTTTGGACATGCTACAAAACCCTCACGTTTTGCTCGCTTTTGAAGAGGTGCACAATCCCTTGCGCCTGCATGCGCCTGCCACGCGAAACGACAGTCCGACAGATTGACCAGGAAGGTAAGGATGGGAGTGAGGGATGGACCAACAGATTGACGGATGGAAGCATGAAGGGATGGATGGAGGGAAACGGTATATAAATGTATGATATAATGTAAGCATATGTAAGCATGCATCTGGCAAACTTACGCTCTAGTATTGAACACCTGCAAACTATGCGAACCTATGACTTGGACTGACTGGACAACCAACACGTAACTGACCGGAAAAGAATCTTAGAAGGAATCACTCCTGAAGACAACGTACATAAAGACAACGCACACAAGGTTACGCAAGCACATAAAAAATGCCATATCCGCTCGGAAACTGAGCGCATAGATATGCAAAGATCACAAAGCAACCCGGATGCGATTGCTTTTGATGCTCTCAAACATCGTGGGATGTGAGAAGACCATTATAAACCATGCCTCAAACATCTGTTGTAGTTTGCAGCCATCCTCACTGGCCTGAAGAAATACATAGTGAACTGTTGAAGGATGCTGAAGGATGAAGGATGTTACCTAATAAAGGATGACAAGGAATATTAAGGGATAAACAAATGATGAAAAAGCAATAACAAAAATGCATAAGAACACAAGGACTAACGACTAACAGTTGACTAGCATGCACGAACTCAGGACCTCGCCTTGCCGCTGCTCTCCGAGTTGCAAGTGGCCACGACCCAGACCTCCTGCCATGGCCATGGCCAAAGAGTCACTGCATAGCCAGACCATAGCCAGACCTCTCCACCCCCTTTCAAGGAGTCACTCAGGAGTCAGACACTCCTCTTCCCCAGGCACAACACAGCCTGATTCGGCGTGTCATGTCAAATCTTGCATGTCCTAGTCCTACGAAATAACGTGTGTAGACCTGCAAACTGAATGAAACTGACATGTTCTTGTCATCAAACATCGTGGCAAGGATTTAAAAAAAGCAAAATGATGAAAGAAAATGAAAGAGACATGGAAGAACGTTCAAAGGAACCTCAGTGTTTGGATGTCATTCGTTGACATCTTTGCCGGCAAATTCTAATACTGAGATATGGGCAAGATTGACCCATCGAAACTTCCTTTGCGGCCGGAAGGATCATTCACCCTGACCTTTCTCTCCTTGCAAGTCCTGCCTCCTATGAGACACAGGGGAAACATGTAGAAACACTGACAAATGCAACGATATTCTTTCTGAAGCCTGCTGCCACCCGCAACATTCCAAGGCGGGCACTGCAGCGACAGTGCTCCTTTGGAGGACACCCTTGCTGCACTGAGCCAAAACAACAAAGCTGCTGGCTCAGCAGAGGCCTAATTACATTAGTTACAGTACATGTTTTCACATGTTTTCCTGCAGAAGTGCGTGACTGAACGCACTGAACGGTCATTGTATAGGAATGCATAAGCAAGCACTGGTCACGGTACACTGCAACGGGTTTTCCTTCTTCGTGTGCGTTGCTGATGTTGCTGGCGCCGTGAGCATCTTGATGAGGTGGAAGATGACGACGAGGTCGTGGACTTTCTCCGTTGCCTCCTCTGCCTCCTCTTCCTTCGCCTTCTCGGCGTCGACGAAGTTGACGGAGATCTCCTCCGTGACCTCGACCTCGTTCGAGATCTTCTTTGCCTCGATCTTGGGCGCGAACGAGACCTCAGAAGCACTCGCCGAGCCGGCACCACTGCCACTTGTTGAGCCAGCGGTCGAGCCGGCACCACTGCCACTTGTCGAGCCGGCACCACTGCCATTTGTTGAGCCAGCGGTCGAGCTGGCACCAGTGCCATTGTCGTCACGGGACTGGCCAACTCGGTTGGGGGCGTGGCAGCGACAGCGGCAGTGCTAGCAGCGGCCTTCTTCACAGCCTCGGCCACCATCACAGCGGCCGCCGTCACATCAGCATTGGCTGTAGCAATCGGCCCCGAGGCAGCTGTGAGCAACGCTTTTTTCATAGAGGTTTGGCGTCCTTGCGTGTAGTCAAACAACAGGTCATCCCATGGTCGCTGCTCGTGCTCCTCGCTGTCTCGGTTGAGGCTCGGCCTGCATGCACCTGCCATCTTGCTCAGATGCTTCTTGGTGTGAATGTGGCCTTGGTGCTGCGAAAAATGCTGCAAAATGAAGAGAAATGCAATTTGAAGAGCAAGAGCACATTTGCACAAAACTGTCTGTCGCTTTGTGAGTGATGGTGGGATGGTGGACACTTGTCCACATCTCGGGACTCGGGAAACCTCAGGGCTCTGCCTTCCTCCCCGTGGGTGAACAGCTCCCACCACGCTCCTCCCACGCCGCATAGGCGGCAGCTGTACTTCATCTTCGAGAAGAAGCAGGAATGGTAGGGCAATTGCCAGCCGTCTCGCTGCATGCGCTGCCAGGCTAGGGCCTCAGGAAAATGGCAACTAGCTCTTCACATTGGCAACTGTTTGGATATGCTGTTTCAAGTTTCAACTTCTTCACATTTTTCCAGCTCAGGGCACCACTGTCAGCTCCAAGTGTTGGAAATGCTTCTTCGCCTCCTGAGCCAGCTTTGGACAAGGGCCAAAGATTGTTAAAAATTGTTGAGCTGAGGAACGGAAGCACTGAAAGAATATGAAAAATTGAGGCACCAGGCTTTGGTCGCAACGACATGATTCATGAGCTTCGTTTCTCCGATCCTCAAAGAAAAGCAATGTCAGCAACACATTGGAGTCACTTCGTTCATCTTCTTTCTATATGAAAATTCATCCGGACCAGTCTCTTTCATAACGGCCAGTCAATAATTACAAAAACTGACAGGAACTGCTTCAAAGTCATCTGGGCCCAGAGCAGTTCTGTGTTGCAGCACACCTGGCACCTTCACACTGCACCCGATTGGGGTCCCTAGAGCTTGCTATGGTCTTCATGGCTTCCCTCACAAGACCCAAATCATTTGCAATACGAAGGCTGCGCCTCACCCGATCACTGCCAGGTTTGATTTCCAGTCCTCAAATACCACAGCTGGATGTATCATGATGTATCTGACCGGGCGGAATGAAGGGTCAACTAAGGCTGTCACCAAGAGACTCCCAGTCAATACCTGGGCAGATCATTGTGATCGCAGACTTAAAGGTCAGACCCCTGTGCATGGCATAGGAAATCCAAAATGTTTTTCTAGCCCGCATCACGTTCCGATATTGCGAGTAGCCATGAGCAGCCTCTTTTCGCCAACTACCCATGTCTGCCCCAAGCCTGTGGCACTGTGGCCAACCCTTTGGGTGGCTGTCTGGGCCTGGTCCAGTCTGATCAGTCTGCCTTCAGCAGTTTCAACTTTGCTCTGGGATTTGTTGGTTCCCACACCCCGGGCAGGCGCGTTCACTTGCCCTAGGCCCTATGGCAAACAGCGTCAGCGGGAGCAAACAATGCCTGCAGCTCTCTTTGACTGGAACTCCTGCCAGAGTGTCATCGGAGTTTCTGATGCTTCAGGTACTTGTGCCACCACCACCTGCAAAGATCCAGACAGGACAAGTAGAGAAAGATAGAGAAAGTCTCATGGCCGCTTATGCACTTGTGTCACTTAAGTGCATCGCAACAAAAAAAAAAAAAGCAGAACAGAATCCGCCCCGAAAGGCTGGTATCTGGGTTTGCCACTCTTGCCACAATTCTGTCGACTTTGCTTCTTCTCCAATTCCGACATTTGGAGGCCACAGTCGGCTGCCACACACCTTCTATGCATCTCACTCAGCAAGCCGAAACCAGAGAGATGATTCGATTCCATGGTAGATATCGTAATTGGAAGATATCTGCATGGTTGCAATAACTGTGTATGCTTAGGTCGCTTATCCCCAATACATGTGATATATATATATATATTTGTGAATATATCAATACTATATTCATGTATATATTCCAGAGAAAGGATGATCTATACCTACCAAACAACCAGCCACTGATCGTCCTGGTGGCATATGATGGCATCGTGCATCCAAGTGTCGTCCTTTTGGCATTTGGCCGATTAACTGCTGGTGTCTCGCAGCCGCACCATTGATAGGAGCCTGTGCGAGCTCGTGAAGAGAAATGGAACCAGTGAATTTGCATCTCGGATTCCGGATGGATTCTGAGGGTCTCTATACTTCAAGGGCCCAGACCTATGCACCAGGGAGAACACGTGAATCACTTGATTCATCTTGATTCCATAACAACACATCGATGCATTGACAGCGCGTGACTTTGGCTTCCACTGTCCCCGGCCTTTCGACACACTCTTAGTGCAGCCATGTGTGCAAGCTTGATTCCACGCTGGGACGCACACACGGGGAAGCCACCGCAAAGGCCTCCTGCGCGGTGGGAAGACCAGCATTCTACATCTTTTGTAATCCAAATGATTATCCCAAGATATATCAAGAATTATCAAGTCTTCTGGTTAAGGGGCAACCTCATGTGACACCGCCACACCGGTAACTTAGAAATCATGACTGGCCGTTTCAACCATTTCACATTCCTCCCACTGCTCCTTGGTTCAGAGGATGTAATGCAACGTCCCGTTGTCTGTGCTCCTCCACTGTCAGGAGCCTTTCGCGTGGAGGACGTTAACGCAGATTGGCATCGAGTGGTATCAAACATTGTCAAACAACGATGTACACGGACAAGGGTGTCCTATGAATCCCTCCTGTTGGAGAGCAGACTAGGACAGCAACAGCTTCCCTGGTCCACACACTAGACAAGAATGGATCATTATATGATCCGGCAGGAACTGAATCCTGAAACATGCAAACCAGTCTAAATTATTTGATGAGTAAAAGAGCCGCATGAGGTACTTCTCGAAAACGATGTAGGGCATCCGATATTGTCAAACGTAGTTAAAACCAGAGTCCATAGAGTGATGACCAGCATGTTGAAATCCCAAATAATGTTTCGGCGATTGTTTCCCAAAATGACCCATGGTTCATCGGCGACATGATCTCGGCGAAAATATATCAAAAAATCATAATACTGTCGGCGATATAGTTTCGGCGAAAATCTGAGGAAGGTTCTGATGCATGCAATACAGATTGTGGCAACCGTGTAGAGTCGAAACAACGCAGTGTAACAGCTTGGTCAACAGTTCAAACTGAGTTTTGCAGGTAAAAGTGGTTGATCAGACCACTCATCCACCGAAATGCCATAGCTTCGTTGGACTGGATAGGCAAATCGGCTCCAGTCCCCCTGCAAAGTAGTGAAAACCAATAAGAAGTTTTACATCTGTTCAGATGGTACACACACACACCTCGCATGTAGCGAGGTTGGATTTTTTGGAAGAACTTCGCTGGCGGAATCGGCAATACACCAGTGAAAGTGAACCTGTAATAACCTAATGTACAAACGGGCGATCACCTCAGTCAGAAGAGGAATTCGGAGCTTGTAGAAGAACTTCGATAGCATCGTGGAAGCTCATGCGTTCAACCATCGCCCAAGTCTGATCGAGTTCCCCAGATGCCGTAGCAGCCTTCAAGGTGTCAGATAGATCTTTGGCTAATTCATGGAGCCGGGTGGTTAGGCTCGGTTCATCTGCAGGAGATGTCGTCTCAATGGGCACATTGTGAAAAGGATGGTGTCCGTGTACACGGGGGGATCTCGAAATGATGTCGCCAATAGTCCGCTGTACGCAGGGACCACTCCCAGTTGCCCGAAAGACCATAAAAGTAGTGTTCAGGGTCACGACATCGGGAATGCCCGAGCAAGGGGATTTCTTCAATGAAAAGCTCCCTGGTGTTGTTGGAGTGGGTAATGACCTTGAATTGGATCTGGTGAACCACGCGAGAAGAGAATTGAGCACGATGGAGATAGTTGTGTGCAGAACTTGACTCCGTCGGAAACGGGACGCAAGGAGGTGCTGGTCCTGAATATGTATCAGAATAGGCCATAGTACCCGTGTCAGGAGCCGTGCTGTCAGTTGCCAAAGGTGCCGACGTAGGGTTGGTCGTAGTGTCAGGAGGGCCTGAGTGACATAGTGCAGAAGTCTGGGCGTCTGGTACTTGAACTGGGTTGGCAGGAGCGAGTCCACGGGTAGGATTCGAAGGCCAAGACAAGCCCGCCACGGTCGCGTCTCGTTTGTGTTCCATGGGTGAAACTGTCACAAATGCGAGAAGTAGTGCAACAACGGCTGAGGCATCAAGAATTGCAAATATAAGCCAATCCCGAAAATGATAACAATCACAAGAATGATAAAAGTGAAGTCCAGTCCTCAATCAAGTGGTTCAATTGCGACGGAGAAGTCACAGCTCAAAGTCAAATAAAGTAGAAATCAACGAATCCTTTATGTTGGTGAGGTGTCAAGGGAGAATTGAAAACCCTGTGGCATAGTCTTTTTTTGGCAGGCTAGCGTATCAGGGCAGGATCACACCGGAGCTAATTTTGTAGCATTGCAGACGTAGTACGAAAGGCTGTCTGGTACCCGGAATGAGGAAAGAGGATTCGCGGGAGTTATACTGCCGAAGTCGCCATTCAGGTCGGTATGCCTCCAGAAGCTGCAAGATCGTCATATCATTGGAAACTTGGAATGTATCACCGTCCAGGTCGCAATAGCGAAACTCCAGATTCGAGGGATCAATTTGGATGTCCCATTGGGACCTCAATCTTTTGGAGATACAGAAGCGAAGTTCGGCAATTGGGATGAGGCCGGCTTCAACTGGTTCCATCTGACGTGACCAGGTAAACAGAGCTGCAAGTTCGTAGCCACTGACATTTCTAAAATTGGAGTTCGCCAGAGCCATGTAGTGTTCACGGTCAGGTTCGCTTCGGTGAATCAATGCCTGTAGGGGAGAGAAGTCAACCAAGATAAGAACAGGTCTGTTTGGAGGAGGGTTCACATCACCAGGAAGGCCTCGATGTCCAGCAAACCATCCAACGGTTCGTGTACCAAGCGGTGTCTCGATCGTAGATGTAGCGCGATATGGATTGGGCCGAGAAGAACGAGCCATTGCGTCAAATATGAAGTATCGAGGAGAAAGCGAAAAGCCCAAGCTGCAAAATGGGTTGGAATGACCACAGAATAAAGCTCAAAGTGTTGGAAATGGAAGGGAAACGGAATACCTAGTAAATGGTCACACAAAGAGACGGTGAATCACAGGTCTTTTTCCTGCCGACAAATAATGTGGTATATTACACACTTGAGTCCGACATATCCATCGGGTCAATATCGTTCGCATCCAGTGGACCATGCACTTGTTGAGGAGGGACAGCGGGGTGAGTGAGATGTACAGTACGTTGTAGTGTTGCCGGTGGGGAAGAAGGTGGTGTAGATCGCCAAGGTGGCCAATATAAAGAGGTAGTGGTTCCTTGAGAGTGGTGTTGGGCAGAGCGTCCCCAGCATGACTGCAAAATATGGAGGTGGTCCGGTATCGCTTCGTACGGCTGGGAGACGTAGACGTTGGAGTGTTCAGGGTGTGGTAAAACGGGAACAGTAGTTGCCGTAGGGGAGGAGGATGATGATTGAATTGGTACGTCATAGTATCGGCGCCAATGGTTAGCTGTGGTACGCAGGATCGCCTGGTCGTTGGTGAGGTGCATGTTCTCCAGAAATGTTTCCACTGGTTTCCACGTTTCAATACCATCAAGTGTCCTTTCCACGATCCAAAGTTCATCTGAACGGTTAGACAAAGGATAGCTCAGCTTCTTGATGAAGACGGAATGGACCGTGGTAGAGGTCGGAATCATTCGCGCTGCACGAGGAATATAGGATGCCGAGGTAGGATCATCAGGTGGCAGGTGTGAGACAAGGCCATGTGTGGATGTAGGTGGTGAACGGTGTGAGACCAATCGAGCAGGATCATCCGTGTTGGAAGTCATCATGTACGATCACAAGAGTATGATAATGAGAAATACTGAACTGAAGCCAAAAAGCCGTGGGGAAGGTCAATGATGAAGGAATAAATAACGAACATCACCCAATGGAAAACGAGAAAAGGATGACATAAGGGAAATTCAGAACCGTGGTGGTGGACATCATAACGAATGTTGTCTTTTTTCTCATAGGCGGGAGCCTTGCCGAGATCCTTCAAGACAGCTAATCACTCAGCAGCTTTAGTGTATCGGGTGGCCGTGACGAATGGATGCCCACGGGGAATCACTTGAACATGTACAGCAAAGCCTGTGTCTTGTGCATCCGGATGGGGTGTCAGCAGCAACGGTGAACACTCACGAGTCGTGAAGGCATCGAGATGTTGATGAGTTTTCCATCTCGGGTAGAACCAGTTCAAAACATCCAGAAGAGAATGAGGAAGGTCGTCAAGCATCTGAGCTCCTTGGTCGGTGTCAATCATCATGTAGAACTCTGACGCTGGTAGGTGTATTGACCAGCGTTGTAGCAACGTGTCGGTAACTACGGTTTTGAGGTCTGAAACGAAATGACTGCGAGCATAGTCCGGGTAGATCACCTTGAACGTCTGGAACAGGCTATCATAGGTGGCCGTAGAAAGGTTGCCCGCGACCTTGGGGGTCAAGATGTTGTAATAAGGGTTGCGTACGGCCAGTTGTTGCATCGGCTTCAGGTCCAACTGGAAAATAACCGGTCGGTGAGGTGTCGGAGGCGAAGACCGGTTGGGTGGGTGCTGAAATGACGAAGAGCCCATAGCGGAAGACGACGTCCTGGTTGGAGAGCGTGAGCGTCGTGTAGGTGAGATCCTCTCGTGGGACATAGCTCGCAGTTGGCAATAGCGGTCCAGGTGAATGCGGAGAGACATAATAAATGGCTGGCGG